GTAGTGATACTGCCTCGGAAACCCAAGGAGGGGTCGCTATGAGTGGGGTTTGACTCGACGGCACATAACAACAACAACAACAAAAGCAATCAGTAAACTCCACTCAGTACAGAAGTATTGAGCTCAGAAGGAAGTCGTGGGCAAAGTGAATTCCAGAGAGGAGCTAATCATGTCGTATTGTCCAATTAGAGTAGACGACCCTCCCACTTCATTTATTCAGCCACTGTTTATTGAGGGTTTTGTCAAGCACCCGGCTATGAGGATGCAATGACATTGAGCAAATAATCAGAAAGTGATTACAAATTGTGATAACCATGAGGGAAAGTACATTGAGAATGACTTCATTCCCCGTATTTTCTTGCATTTATCAGCGTCTGAAATTAGTATTGACATTTTTATTGCCAGTACGTCCCACACAGGCCAGACCATAATAAGCTCCGGGACAGTAGAGCCCCACTCTGCTTTATCCCCAGTGGCTGGCACATTATGAAAGGGGCTCTGGTGGTGTGGTGCCTAAGGCATTTGACCGTTAACCAGAAGGTTGGCAGTCAAACCTACCAGTCACTCTGCGGAAGACTAGGCAGTCTACTTCCGTAAAGATTTACTGCCTGGGAAACCCAATGGGGGTTGCCATGAATTGGAATCAACCCCATGGCAGTGGGTTTGAGGTTTTTTTGTTTCTGGCACATTATAGGTGCTTAAGAAATAACACTGAGGGACTTGCAGCACAATTGGGATTCTGACCTAGTTTGACCTTGAAGGATAGGGCTGTGCATCAAGGAGTTTGATTTGTGCTAAGATTGAAGATGGAGGGACTAATTAAGTTTTAAGCGGGGGAAGGAAGAAGGTGGTTCTACCCAGAAGGGGCTTGGTCAAAGGCCCAAGCACAGGAGAGGTGGTGGTAGGCAGAGGCCCTGCTGTCTTGTGGGGCCTGTGAACCAAGGTAAGGCTCTTTGGGGGCCATTGAAGGGTTAAAGCCAGGGACTGTGACATGATTATATTTATGCCTTAAGAATACTTTTCAGTTGAAGGAAGAAAGGATTAGACAGGCAAGAGTAGATTTGGGAAAACTCAGAAAGGAGGCTACTGTAATCCAGAAAAGGTGAGGGACATTTTGATTAGTTGCGATGGAGAACATGAAAGTGGGTGGATTAGAGAGTTTAAGATGTAGAGTGAGGCAGTACTGATGGTGTCTGGATTTTGTCTTGCTCAGCCAAAGAGATGGAAAGCCCCATTCAGTGAGAGAGTGAACAGTGAAGGACGGCCAGGTTTGTGTGGGAAGATCACAAGTTTAGTTTTAGAGGGCTTTTTTTAGGTACCTTTGAGATACATATCCCTGGTCCCCAAGGCCCCTCAGCAGAACTGTCGAACAGACAGATGGCCATATGGGCTTGGAGCTTGAAAGAGAGGGGGCCAGGCTGGAGAGAACAGACATGAGTTGTCAGCACTTAGATAGCGGTTGATGTCATGGGTGTGGATGCTTCAGCCAGGGAAAGGGGATTGAGAGAAAAAGGCAGCCGAGGACCAGGCATTGGGGAACATCAACACTTAAAGGAGGAGGAGCAGCCTACAAAAGTGAGGACAAGACCCATGAGAACACAGAAGCATTTTGGACCAAGGCTTCTTGAGTCTGCCTGTTACCCATTCTGGGAGAAAGGAATCTCCTTTCTGTGTCTTCAGGCCTTCTGAGGCCCTTGCTGAGAGCCACAAGACAGCTGGGAACCCCGGGGATGCCCTCAGTGGTTCTCATCACTCGTAGGATAGAGTCCCATTCCAGGTAGCCCACAGCCCTGTATTATATGATGCCAGCCTGCTTCTTCCAGCCTTAAATGCTTTCCTTATCTCCAGTACACTGCCCCACCATCGATGCCTGACAGAGCCTTTTTTTTGGGGGGGGGGGGGCGGCGTTCCAAAGATAGCTGAGCACTAACTCCTTGGGGTCCCTTCCGCACTTCACCTTTCCTGGCACTACACTACTTGAAAGGAGCCCTGGTGACGTAGTGCCTAAGGCATTTGACTTCTAACCAGAAGGCTGGTGGTTCAAACCCACCAGCCACTCTACTCTGCAGAGGGAAGACTGAGCAATTTACTTCCGGAAAGATTTACCGCCTCAGAAACCCAATGGGGTTTGCTATGAGTCGGCGACTCGATGGCAGTGAGTTTGGTTTGATATACACTACTTGGTGGCATAAATATTGGTGCTGCCATATCAGCTTCTCCTACTGCTCAGTAACTCTTAAACTTTCTTACATCAGAGATAACTTTTGAAATTGTGGTTAAAAAAAAATGACCATTTCCTCAGAAGAATGTAGTCACTCCATTACACAATTTTGCACCTACCTTCAGAGGTCTACATTACCACATGAATAACTGGGCTCCTTGAGGGCAGTGCTCATTAAGTGCTGCAGCTAGACATGCAGATTGGGTTTTTATTTGTCTCTGTACACCGCCCCCTCCCCCCCAGCCTAGAGGCAGCAAAAGACAAAAAGGAAGGAAAGAAATGACCATGATTTCTTTAATTTCAGGATCATGGTTTTGGCAGGAGACACACTGCCTGTGGAGGTATACTGCCACCTTCCGGTTATGTGTGAGGACCGGAATTTGCCTTATGTCTATATCCCCTCTAAAACGGTAAGAAGCACATAAACTTGGCAACGTTGGTCAGCACTGGGGAGGGGTAGCCTAGTGGGAAAGAACATAAGCTCTGTAGTGAAGACAGGCCTGGGCATTCTTAGCTCTGCCACTGCCTTGTTGGGGGTGCAGTAAGTTACCTCTGTACTTCTGCTTCCTCCCTGTCAAGCAGGAGAATGAAAATGGAAGATGTGCATGAATGTGCTTTATAAATGGAAATGGTGCCCGTGTTTTAGCCCTGTTAGATGGATGCTCAGGGCCGGTTTTTAGGGAGCTACAGCTGTCTTTATCCTTCCATAGCGGGGACCAGGTCTGAGGCCATGGGGTGGGAGGGAGCCAGAAAGCACAGGCCCTGCCCAAGAGGGCAACCCTGCCAGGCCCCAGACCAGTCACTGTAGCTTTGGGGGAAATGTAGGCCTAACATTGCTAGACTGGCTTGAAAGTTTGTTGAGTTTAAATGATGGCAAACCATATGAAACGTTTTAAATATAATGTGGGCCCAGCAGAAACTGTCTGGACCAGATTAGGCCCTTCATCATTGTCCTTCATTTTATGACTCCTGGCATACAAATTGTGTAGCAATTTTTTCCCAAACAGCCTCTCTTTCTCTGTAGGACCTGGGAGCTGCTGCTGGCTCCAAGCGCCCTACCTGTGTGATAATGGTCAAGCCCCATGAAGAGTACCAGGAGGCCTATGACGAGTGCTTTGAAGAGGTCCAAGCCCTGCCCCCACCTCTGTGAAGGACTGGGGCAGCAACTTGGCACCTGCTCTGGAAGCTGCTGGGCGGCGGTCAGGCTGCCTACACTCCCAGCATCTTCCCGATTGCCTGAGGCATGTGTTCTTCTCAAGCAGCTCCAACAGTTATTTCATGAGGATAAAGCCAGCATCTTCTCAATCAGTAGTTTCCTGTTGAGCTTACATGAAGACAGTTCCAAGAATTTTGTGTGGAGGAAGTAAATGCTAAGACTTAAATGTGATTCTGTGGGTGTTTTTTTTAAAGCAGCAGCTGCTGGTGGGGCCAAGGAGATGGTGGGCAGGAAATAGCGGAAGCGTCTGCTCTCACAGAGACCCTGAAGGACTCTAAGATGGTTTAGTGTTCAGCTTGGCTGCCCAAGTCTGGGTGCTTGGGCTTAAACTGAGGATGGATTTTTTTGCTGCCCACCCAGAGCTCCAAGTATGGAGCTGACAGCTGCAAGGTAAGGTGGCAGATCCCAGTGCCCATTTCACATAAATCTGCAGCCCCAATGTCAAAGGATACCCTTATTCTGCTTTTCTTCCCTCAAGAGCATTAAATGTCACTGTGAAACTTAAGGAAGCAGTTTCAACCCCCTATGGTAAATTTTAAATAGGGATATGAAGTTAAATACAAAACCCCCGGCTACTTCTCCTGTTCAGCATAATGAGCCCTGATAATCGGATCCCTTAAGACATTTTAGACTTAAGGTCTCCTTATGGTCAAAGGCCCAAGGCAGGACTTGGTACACATAGTGACCAATTCTCAAGGACACTGGAGTAAACTGGAAAGAGTCTGGGCTTGAGTATCAGTTCTGGTTTAAACTCCAAGCTCTCTCCTTTGTAAGCTGTTAAGCCCTGCTGTGCAAGTCACTTCATCTTCCTAAATCCTCCCCACACCAACTGATAATACCTTGCTCTGAGTCAAGCATCTTCCAGGTGTTCCATTAAAGCCTCTGGCTTCTACTTTGTTTATGACCTATGGACAATGCCTCAGGCTATTATTTCTTCTCCAACCAGAGATGCAAGTTGGGTTTTTTCTGCCTGAGCACTGGCCCACTATGCTCCCTCCACAGCTGCAACCAGGTCATGCCAGAACCTTGTGGAAAGTAGATGTATGAAGCTAAGGGCAGGAGAGGAGAGATAAGGAGAAGGCTGCAAATGTATTTACTCAAAGTTATAAAACAGTGAAATTCAGCTCACATTAAGACTATTTACAGTGGGAGATGGATACATACAGTTGTGTTGTACAGTGGGAGGAGGTGGCCATAGCTGTGTACCCGTGGGCTGCAGGCTGGAGTGGACATGGTAGCGTTGGCATGGCAGTAACAAATATGGCTGAGGGTGGGCAGAGATGAGATGTTTGCTGATGACCAAGTCCTTTGCTACTCTGTCAGTTGCTACTAAGTCAACAGCAGATATAAACAGGGAGGGACAAAGTAGGACACAGACCACTGGCATCTGCCTTCCTTGCCAGCAGAGAAGCCAGCTGCCAAGTATAAGGTGGGCCCCTCCCTGAGGGAGCCCTCCTCAGCCAGTTGCTCTAAAATGAATGTAAACCAGAGGCCAACCACCCAATCAAGGCCAATCAAGGCTCAGGTGAAAGGCCCTTCAACAAAATTCCTTCCAGGCAGGACTCAGAAGATGATGCGTTTCCCATCTGCTGGGTTCTGTTCCATAGGACAATATGGACACTTCAGCCTGCAAAGGGAGGAGAACCAAGGAGTTCTCAGGGACCAGCAAGCAGGACAGCCACCTGAGGGAGAGCCAACCATGAGGCACTTACTTTCCTCCATTAATGAGCTTGTTGAGTGCATCTCGGGAGATCACATGACCACAGATGAGCTTAATGGGAGGATTGGAGTCTGATGTCTGCTGGCGGAGGATGGGGCAAGCAAACACTGAGTGGTACCAGCACTTCATGCCAAGTTCGATCTCGATCTGTGGAGGCCAGGCACGGGTGATTCCCACATCCTGTCCTAGCTGTCCGCCCCAAGTCCCTTTTGCCCACAACCCCTGCTAGGCCTCACCGGCAACTCATCTTTGTGACTCCAGACACCGGTGCACTGCCTCTGTTCAATCACAGCTTTGATGTTCATCAGCACAGGCAGGGCCACACAGCCAGAGGCAAAGCTGCCGGGACAAAGAGCAGGGGCTGAGTCAGCCAGCTCTCAGAAGCCCAGCAGACACAAGAATCCACAAACCCTATCGTCAGCAGGTGACTTGGGCCTGGGGTCTAAAGTGGCCTAAGATCAAATCTGTCTTTGAGAATCTTATCACTTACAAAGTGCCACATACATAGTTATGTGTATCCAACGCTAGACGATAATTCTAATGCACCCCCAAATTTGAGCACTTATAGGAAAAACAAAAGGAAAATCCAAAACACTCAAAAATCCTTGGTATGACTGAGGTCCAGCCTGCCTGTAGGACTTACCTGCTGTTGTCACCCAGAACCTCTGTCACATTAGTATCTAGGGCAGCCAGGAATGGGTAAGGGAGGTAGGTAGGGGAGCCTGCTGGCTGGAACATGGATGGTAAATACTCTGCAATGCATTGGGCAGGGCTGTACAACATGGAACCATCCTTCTCAAGCACCATTCTAAAACTTGAGTGCATGTTAACAAGTTAAATGACAGTGGAGGCTCATCATACTAGAGTGGGGTAGGATCTTAAGATTCCAGTCATTCTAAGTAAAATGCCCCCACGATAAGTATCTGCTGTGGTGGAGTATGTGGCTGTGGAGTCAGATCCAGTTGCCCTTAATTTCCCATGAGACCTTAGGCAAGTTAGTCCCATCTTGAGCCTTGTTTCCCCATCTGTAAAAAGAGGGTAATAGTGCCTCTGACTCCTACAGTCATAGTGAAATTGTGAGAGAGGAGTATTAATGTAAAAAAGCCTTTAAGCCACAGCTCTAAAACATTACTCAGTCTTCTCTGAAGGAAAGTGGTGTTTTTTAAAGATGTGGTGAGTATGGGGGCACTGCAGGAGGTTCTTGCAGGAATCCAGGGTAAGATGTAGGAGAAGCAGAGACCTACTGCAAGAGACCTAACAAAATGAGAACACTGGCCTCCCAGTGGCCTCATGGGGACTCCAGGCTACAAATCTTCATCGCAGCTTCTGTGTCTATAAAATCAGGTAATTCCAATCTCCAAGAATGATTAAGAGTCAAAGTGGGTCTGTAGAAGCAATAAGCACCAAGCCTGGCACACAGCAGTCTCTGTAAAATCTTCCTTCTGCACCCTCCCGTTTTTGCTGCCCCAACAGGACTGGGTGGTACCTGACGCTGAGTGGGGATTCTACGGAAAGCCCCAGCAGGGAACAAGCATCCCGGGTGAAGGTCTCACAGATCTCGGCCCAATGGCTATTGTCCAAGAGGTGGCAGTAGGGCGACTTCTCCAAGCCCAGCCGCAGGTACACTAGGCTGCCCATCATCACCTGGATCTCTACAAGGCAACCAGGGTGGCAGCTCAGGGTGGGGCCCAAAGCCAGCCTTTCCCACCAGGGTCAGTGCCCATTCCCTGAGGGTGGCAGGGCTGCTGTTAACAGATGGAGCCCTCAGGCAGAACTGGTTTTCCCAAAAATCCGGTGGGGAGGTGGCATCTAGGGGCTTCCTCACCTCGGAAAGGGAGGCAGAATGGGTACCACTAGTGGCCTGCTCATATGAGACAAGGACAGGCATTAACCAACAGAATTGCACACCCCATTCTCAGGTCTCCCCATCTTGAGTGCCTCCAGGAGCAAGTATGAGGTTGGCACTCATATCTTTTTTTCTCTAACAAGACCTCAGGGTCAGCAATTTCAGGAGGAGGCAGCAGTATCTAGCTATAGAATTTAAGAATATTTGCTTGTTTTTCATACTTATTTTTGAATGAAATTTAAAGTAATATATAAGAGTGGAGCTAAAGAAAAACAGTAACAGTGTGGGTAGTTAAACTAAACCAAACTAAAACCACAGCCACTGAGTTGATTCTGACTCCTAGTGACCTGTTAAGACAGAGCAGAACTGTCTCATAGGGTTTCTAAGGCTTTCAGTCCATGGAAGCAGACTGCCTCATCATTCTCCCGGGGAGTGGCTGGTGGATTTGAACCACTGACCTTTTCATTAGCAGCTGAATGCTTTGACCACTACACTATCAGGGTTCCTTTGCGTGGGTGGTTATTACTGGTGAAAGACTTAAATGACAGGTTTGTGAAATCCTGGTGTCAAGGAAGAGGGCTGTCAAGGACGCTGCAGAGGAGGTGGTTGAGATGAATCTAAGAAAACGGGCAGGAACTTTCTAGGCAGAGAAAGGCATGTGCTAAAGCAAATTAGTGTAAGGTCCTGGCATGATGTGGGCACTGGGAGAAGTCTGGGGTGGGTGTTTGTGTATGGCAGGGCACTGGAGATGCAAGTGGCCTGAGAGTAAGCTAAAAAGATGTGGAGGAGGCAGACAAGAAAGGAGCTTGAGTTCACCTTACAGACCATGAGGGGCCAAGGAGGTTTCCAGGTAGGGAGGGCATCTCAGTGACTATAGCCCCACGTGGGGGCGGGACTGACAACCCGACAAACCTGCTAGAGCCAGCAGCTCCAACCCCCTCATCCACACCCACCCTGGCACCTGGCACCTACCACGCTGATGTAGCCGAGCAAAGGGCTGGAAGTGCCGGGCGTAGCTGAGGGCCTCCAGCTGCTTCTCAGGGCCACCTGCCAGGAGGCGGATGAAGTGCAGGCGGTGCAGCTTGAACTCCAGGGAGCTGTTGAGCTCCAGTAGGCGCTGCCTGTGGGAGACGGCCCATCTGGGAAGAAACAGGCCAGTTTAGAGCTGGTGGCAGAGCCAGGAGCTGAGAAGTGGGCTCCCAAAGTCTGTGTGAGGCCCCTGGAGGCATGTCAGGTTACATCTGGGTGAAAAGAAAACCATGACAAGCCTGTCCCTTGGGAATCAGGGTACAGCAGCAAAGGCAGAAGGTGATTTTCTAGGCAGAGCAGCCACTGGCCTACCCCAAGGGCCTCCTTACTCCAAGGCAGGGCCTAGGTCTTGTTCGTGCAGAGCTTCCAGGATTCGATTCAATTCCAGGAAAGGCTGCTTGAAGTCCAAATCCACATTCAGTGTTGATTCCTATAGGGGGAAAGAGACCCCACCACTGGAGGGCAGTGTTTCCAGAATTCTCTGCTTTCCATGTGATAAATCCTCATCTGTCTCCATGACAGGTTGAAGAAAGCAGGATTTGCATCAGGTGTCGTTTGGGCCCTCTCATCCCCATGTTAGTTCTGGGGAGCCAGAGTGCTGCATGCTGGGCTTCCCCAAATGTGACCTGCAAAGCCTACCCACCTCTGCAGTGCCAGAGATGAGTCCAGACCCTACACTGAGGAAAATGGTGAGAAGATGATGCCCCTCCCTGTCAGTTCCTTGCTAGTCTTCATGATCACATTAAAGGGAAGTCTCGTTGCCTGCCAGTGTGTCCTTAACACCTGACAACTGTGACTGTCTCTTTTTACTAAGTTCATTTTTAATAAAAGGGATAGTAAAGAGATATTTCAGTATCATGCCTGAACTTGGGACCCTGACTGGCAATCAACTCTAGAAATTAATAACTATACTTTATTTTCATCACATACACACATATGCATATGTGTGTGTGTGTGTGTGTGTACATACACATACAGAGAGAGATACAGATTTTTTTTTTAGGGTTTACCTTTATGGCAAAAAGAAACTGATTTCCTGTCTAAAATAAAGGGACTACATTAGACTGAAGGTGAAGGAATCCCTGAATCTATTCCCTGTAAATAACTTTTAAGCCCTGAACTGAAACTATCCCACAAAGTCATCTTTAAATGAAACAAGCTGGTTCATTTAATAAAGAATGTTCATCTTGAACAATGTACTCTTTTAAAGAATTATCTGTATGAGATTATATGGACAAGGCTAACTCTAAAACACAGACAAGAACTTTAAGGAGCAAAGAGTTTAAGTTAATAGTGGTGAAACAACAGGGACAGAGATAAGAAGAATGGTGACACAATGTGAAGTATGTAGCTACTGTCAATTAACTGTACATGTAAAATTTGTTGACTGGGTATATGTTTTGTTGTGTATTTTCACCAAAAAAAAAGAAAAGAAAAACGGACTTAATTCGTGGTTCAGTGGTAGAATTCTCGCCTTCCATGCAAGAGACCTGTGTTTAATCCTTGCCAGTGTGTGTCATACATAGCCACCACCTGTCTGTCAATAGCGGCTGGTGTGTTGTTACGATGCTGAATAGGATTCAGTGGAGCTTTGAGACTAAGAGAGACTAGGAAGAAAAGCCTGGTGATCTACTTGCGCAAATCAGCCAGTGAAAACCTTAAGGACCAGAACAGTTGTGCATGGGGGTCACCCTGAGAAGGGGGCTGACTTGATGGCAACAAACAACAACAATTTAAAGAAAACTATCAGGTAAAAGCAACATAGACAGGTCCTCTCCACACCTCCCCTGGCCCAGCATTACCTGGCACAGCTCCTCGGCGACACTGAGCATGCCCTGCTGGTACAGGTGCTCTACAATGGCCATCTGCAGGATCTGCTGCTGCTTCTCCCGTGAGTCCCACACTGCATCGGAGACTACACCACAAATCTCAGAGTCAAAGTTCTAACGAGGATGAGAGACAGGGCCCTGTGACTGGGGTGCTCACAGCTGCCTACTAGTTCCAGTACAGCCCCGCATACATCTTTGACCCCAGGTCTGGGGCCACCCACATGCTCACCCTGTCTATGGCTTTGCCCACTCTGGACACACTGCTGTGAATGTCCTTGTGGTCTGAAGCCAGTTTCTGCACGGTGTCTTTGATCTTCCGGCAGCACTGGGACATCACCAAGGAGAGGGTAGCTGAGAGAGGTGTACCCTGGAGGGCTGCAGAGAAACAATGGCATTGAGTCAGGGCACAGAGGTTGACCACAGCACCCCTTCCACTGCAGGCCTTGTCTTTGCTTCCTCTAACTGCCAGCCTGGGAGGAAGCCCTAACTCAGGAGTAAAATACCTAGAATTGGTTCTATTCTACTTTTTTAACTGCATGACTTAGGATAACCCAGTTCTCTCTGAGCCTTCATTTTCTCATCTGTAAAATTGGGGGTAATACTACCAGCCATAGAGACTGTCGTGATGGTTTGGGACCATGGGTGGTGCAAAAGGTTAAGCACTTAACCACTAACCAAAAAGTTGGTAGCTCAAAGACACCTAGAGGCACCTTGGAAGAAAGACTTGGTGATGGGCTTCCAAAAAGTCACAACTGCTGAAAATCCTATGGAGTAGTTCTACTCTGCACACATGGGATCATCATCAGTTGGAATTGACTAGATGACAACTGATTTGTTAAGTGAGAGGGTTAAGTGAGAGCACTGATGGTTCAATGGCAGGAATCTTGCCTTGCAGGCACCTCATGTACATCCATCACTCGTGTGCCAGTGGAGGCCTGTATGTTGCTGTGACGCTGAACAGGCTTCACCAGACTATGACAGACTAGAAAAAAAGGCCTGGAAATCTACCATCCTATGGATCACAATGGTCAAGATTCTCACTGTGCATGGAGTTGCCATGAGTTGAGCACTGACTCAACAACAACTAACAACAACAACATGGGTTAAGTACTTCAGATATATGAACTCATTTAATCCTCACCAGCACACCATACAGTGGATAATCTTAGAATCCCACTTCTTTAGCTGAGGAGAGTGAGGTACCATGATGCTAAACTGGCCCAGGACACACAGCAGTAACTGATAGATCTAAAGCCAGTGTTTCTCATCACCATGCTGGACTGACCCATATTATCTTCAGTGAGATAATGGATGTAAAATGGCTTTGAACCATAAGGCATTATCCCCACATGAATATCTCTTATTAACTAAAGGATACAGCCAGGCTGGAGTTGGCCAGGGAAGCTCAGGGTCATTTCTGGCTCAGAATGCCAGGCCTAAAGTCTGTCAGTAAAGGCTTGGGCCCCGGTGGCCAGGCTGACACACATAGGGCCTGGAGGAGAGGAGGGAGATAGGGTGCCATCTCTTCTTCTGGTCCAGAACCTATGTACCCTTCAGATGGTAGCATCTTGTTGCATGGAAGGGCACAGGACCCAAGGGGGCCAGTAAGCATCTCAGCTCTGAGAATGGAAGTCTTGGAAGAGAAAGGATCTTTCTGCCAGCCTGCTAAAAACATATAAAATGTGAACTGGAGCTGCTAGGGCATCATGGCACCTTGATGAGAAGCCACCATGAGTAAAAGCCTTATGATGTTGTTGTTGTTGTTATGTGCTGTCGGGTCAGACCTGACTCATAGTGACCCTCCTTAGGTTTCCAAGGCAGTATCACTACGGAAGTAGATTGCCCAACCTTCCTTCTGAGGAATGGCTGGTGGGTTTGAACAGCCAGCCTTCTGGTTAGCAATCAAGTGCCTTAGGCACTATGCTACCAGAGCTCCAAAAAAAGCCTTATAGAGGAATAAAAAGATTCAGGGTACCAGGTAGTACCTGGATGCAGGTGGGCCTGTACACTCAGTTATGTGAGCTAACGAATCCACCCTCATTAGTTTGTTTGCCAGTCTAAGCTGAGTTTCTACCATTTGTAACTGAATGAGAACTGACAAATACAAATAGGAGGCATTTGTTCACCTACTCAAGGGAGACAGGGCAGAAATCCAACTGCATTCCACCCCCAGCATCAGCACTGGCCTGTGAAACCCCAGATACCACTCACTCCTCACCATTGCTGAGCACGCAGAGAGGTACACTGTGCTCGTTCCCTGGCTACATCCTCTTTAGGACAAAGTAACCACCTCTCAAGAAAACAAAGCCTTTTAACCTAGAAATTCCCAAGTCCTCATCTCACAAGGACCCCACTATCATTAATTCAGCAATTCCATGTCTGAGAAGACACAGTCTCCCTGTAAGCACACTGCAGCCAAAACACAGTATCTATTATCCAGGAGCACAGACAGCTGCAAATGAATGCTTCTGACCAGCAAGAGAAAACCATTTTTACCTCAGGCAGCTAACAGATGCCATCAAAAGCAAGGAAACCAGGGCATTTACTGCAACACAGCACAACCACAGAATGGAATGTTGGGCAGCAGCCATTAGCAAGAATGAGGCAGAACTCCATGTGCTGATGTAGAACAAGCTCCACTTTTTTAAGGGGGGGGGGGAATCCTTTAAGGTACAGGAAGTATGTATTTTATGCTACCTTTTGTGTTTTTGAAAAATAGAGGATGACCATACAGGATCAAATTGACAATAGCAACTCAAAAGATTAGATGGAACCTGAGGGGGCAGTGAGGGTGAGAATGGTTTTTACAACTTGAAGAATATAATCAATGTCACTGAATTGTACATGTAGGAATTATTGCATTGGTATGTTTTGCCATGTGTATTCTCAAGAAGCAAAAAAAAAAAAAAAAAAAAGAGGGTAAAATAGACACCTATACATATCCTTGGGAGCTCTGGTAGCATAGTGGCTAAGGCACTTGACTGCTAACCAGAAGGCTGGCAGTTCAAACCCACCAGCCACTCTTCGGAAGGAAGATGGGGCAATCTACTGCCGTAATGATACTGCCTCGGAAACCCAAGGAGGGGTCGCTGTGAGTTGGGTCCGACTCGATGGCACATAACAACAACAACAACATACATATCCTTATGGTTTGCACAGATGCTATCTGTAAGGGCACCTGAGAAACTGGGGACAAGGGTAGCTTTTAGGAAGGGACACTTAGGAACTGGGAGACAGTGTGAAAGGGAGATCCACTTTTCATTGTAAATCTTTATGAACTTGAAGTTTTTTCTATGTGCATGCGTTCTTTAAAAATAAATATTAAAAAATAAAACTAGTAGATTTGTATTTTCTCAGTGGTATGGGGGTATAGCCATTTGAAAATATTTACTATGTATTGAGCAAATGAGAGAATGTATTGATGATGTTGGGAGCCAGATTTCATACTGTTTTGAAGGGAGATATAACTATGGAATGAGTGAAGTCTGGGAAGAACCAACTGATATTGGATTGGAATTGGAGGTATCAGTATAAACTCATGGTTTGAGATAGGAAGATAGATAGGAAGTAAGAAAGAGAGAGTCTGTCTGCTAAAAGAACCTAGAAATAATGATATCATAGTAGCAACCAGATCTTTGTTTTATTCCCCATTAAAAGAACCAGGGATCCATGGAGAAAGGGACATCTTAGTGCCAGAAAGTAAAGAAGTGTTTTTTAAAAATATGATGGGAACATGCCAAAAGGACATAGGAAGGGACAGAATAATCTTTGAACAACTAGAGCTTCACATGCAAAAGAATGAAGTTGTACTCCTTACCTCACACCATATAGAAAAATTAACTCAAAATGGATCACTGACCTAAATATAAGAGTTAAAACTATATAACTCTTAGAAGCAAACAGGTGTGAATCATCAAAGCCTTAGATTACAGAATTTCTTAGATGTGACTTGAAAAGCATAAGTAACCAAAGAAAAAAGTAGATAAATTGGACTTCATTCAATTTTAAAATTAAAAATTTTTGTGCTTCAAAAGGTTCTATCAAGAAAGTGAAAGACGACAACATACAGAGTGGGAAAAAATATTTACAAATCATGTATCTGATAAGTATCCAGTATATAGACATTTTAAATAAGAACTCAGCAATAAAAAGAAATTAACCCAATTAAAAAATGGGCAAAGGACTTAAATAGATATTTCTCCAAAGAAGATCTACAAATGGCTAATAAGCACTTGAAAAGATGCTCAACATCATTACTTATTAGGGAAATACAAATCAAAACCACCATAGGACACCACTTCACACCCACTAGGATGGCTATACTCAAAAAGATAAACAAATAACAAGTGTTGACAAGAATGTGAAGAAATTGGAACCCTCATATATTGCTGGTAGGAATGGAAAAATGGTATAGCCGCTTTAGAAACTGGTTAGTAGCTCCTGAGAAAGCTAAACAGAGAACTACTATATAACCCAGCAATTCTACTTCTAGGTATATACCCAAGAGAATAAAAAATACACATCCATACAGAAACTTCAACATGCATGCTCATAGCAGCACTATTCACAATAGCCAAAAGAAACAACCCAAATGCCCATCAATAGGTACATGTTGTTGTTGTCGTAATATGCCATCAAAATGTTGTATATCTATAAAATGGAATATTATTTGGTCATGCTACAACATGGATGAACTCAGAAAACATTTTGCTAAGTGAAAGAAGCCAGACACAAAAGGTCACATACTGTATGATTCCATGTATATGAAATACCAAGAACAGGCAAATCTGAAATAGAAAATAAATAAGTGGTTATCAGAGGCTAGGGGAAAGGAAGAATGAAGAGTGATTGCTAATGGGTACATGGTTTCATTTTGGGGTGATGAATATGTTCTGAAATTAGATAATGGTGATGATTGTACAACTCTGTAAGTATACTAAAAGTAGCTAACCAGACACTTTAAAATTAGGGCAAATTTCATGTCAAATTTTAAAAAAAGGATGTTAAGAACCAGGCTGAAGAGGTTCCCTTTGGTCACATCTGGTACAATTTGAGCATCAAAATAAACCCACTGAATAAAATAAGAATCTGCAAGTATGAATTGACAAATAAATAAGGGAAAGCTCTTTCTTATAGTAGAATGCCAGCTAATAATGTACAAGGAAAGGTGGGGCAGGAAAAAAAACCACATCAAAACCCACTGCCATTAAGTCTATTCCAACTCACAATAACCCTCACGGGTTTCCAAGGCTATAAATCTGTACAGAAGTAGATTGCTTTATCTTCCTTCTGGGGAGCAGCTGGTGGGTTTGAACTGCCGACCTGGTTAGCAGCCAAATGCCTTATCCACTGTGCCACCAGAGCTAAACTGCAACCAGCATAACAGTATTTGATTCAGGCATGACTCATCAGGGATGTTACAATCAGTGGGTTGAAATTTGATGACAAGACATTTATATAGTCTCAAAGTATCTTGCCACAAATTACTTGTTAACTATAAAAGAAAAATATAGCAACTTTATGGTAGAGGAACCTGGCAGACATTGTCTTAACCAAGTGATCAAAGTTAAACATGGCTAATAGCTGAACAAGCCAACAGCATGTGCTTCCTAATACTATGAACTGAGAACACATCACTTAGGAATTACTCCTGCCAAAAATACAAAACCTGTATCTAATCGTGAGGAAGCACTGGACAAATCTAAATTGAGGGTTGTTTTGCAAAATAATTGACCTTAATGCTTCAAAATGTCACTATCACAGAAAGCAAAGGAGGGTAGGGGAAATGTCCTAGATTGAAAAACTAGAGAGACACGAGAAACTAAATGTAGTGTGCATGATCCTGAATTGGATCCTAAACCAGAAAATAAAATTAAATTGCTTTATTAAAATAATTGGGACAACAGCAAAATGAAATATGAGCTGTATTCATTAGATGACAATATTTTATCAATGTTTTATTTCTTGATTCTTGTATTTACACTATAGTTATGTAAAAGAAAGCCCTTAATCTTAGGATAGGAGCTCTGGTGGCGTAGTGCCTAAGGCATTTGACTGCTAACCAGAAGGCTGGCAGTTCAAACCTACCAACCACTCCTCAGAAGGAAGGTTGGGCAATCTACTTCCATAGTAATACTGGTTCGGAAACCCAAAGAGGGGTTGCTGTGAGTCGGATTAGACTCGACAGCCGTGAGTTTGGTTTTTAGTTTGATCTTAGGATATACACACTAAAGACTTAGGAGCAAAAGGACATGATACCTGCAACTTATTTCAAATGATTAAAAAAATAAAAGAGTACAAAAAACCTACCCATTGTCATCAAGTCAATTCTGACTCACAGTGACCCCCACAGGGTTTCCAAGGCTGTAAACCTTGATGGAAGCAGACTGCCTCATCTTTTTCCTACAGAGGGGCTGGTGGGTTTAGACCACCACCCTTTTGGTTAGCAGCCCAATGCCTTAACCACAATGCCACCAGAACTCCTTAATAGTATGCAAGAGGATGATAAAGCAAATATGGCAAAATGTTCAAAGTTGGTTAATATTTGAATATATGAAGATATATGTGAGTTTTTTGAACTACTCTTGGGACTTTTCTGTAAGTCTGAAATTATTTTATAATGTTTAAAAAATAGTTCAAAAAGCTAAATGAAAACAAAATGTAAATAAAAATAACCTCAAGTAAACTAATAATGTTTGTTGGCTTTTGAAATAGCTCAGAGACTTCCATTATTCCCCTTTGAGGAAGCCTAGGGATCCATGTGCCAATGTCCCAACCATTATCCTTCCAGAACCCTGTCACCAGGTGGCCTCCAAGTCTGTTAGATGTACAGTATGGCTGGTAACGGGCTCTTGTGGGGAAGGACACCCACCTGCGCTGGCCAACTCAGCCCTCAGCTGGCCCACGTAGTGTAGCAGCTCCTCCAGGCTCTGCTCGCAGTGCTGCCCATAGGTGAGGAACTTCTGCAGGACCTTGTCCAGCTCCCTCTCCACACATGCACACTGCTCCATGGTGGCCTCAGCCTGGAACACAGTGGTCAGCTGTGTCAGACCTGCACAGTGTGGGGGGCTCTCTCATACTGTGTCCTCATGAGGCCAGTATATCAATGCTGCCCAAATTCCCCTGCTTAAAACATCTGTCCACATGCTACACAAAACATTGTTCCACTTCCTACTTTGGCGAGTAGTGACTGGGATCTTAAAAGCCTGCAAGCAGCCATCTAGATGCAATAATGGGTCTCTCCTCATCCAGAGCAAAGAAGAATGAAGAAAATCAAAGATTCATGGAAACAATTAGTCCTAGTGACTGGTACCCCATGCAATCCTCAGCCTATACAACTATGAGACCAGAAGAACTAGATGGTGCCCAGCTACCACTGTCAACTACTCAGAGGGGGATCTATGTAGGAAATCCTGGATAGAGAGGGAGAACAATGTGGAACAAAACTCAAAATCACTTGGAAAAAAAAAAGGGGGACTAAGTTTGCTGGTCTGATAGAGCCTGGTGGAACCACTGAGACTATGGTCCCTAGCTGCTCTTCAGGTCTGGAATTGAACCCACACCTGTGGCTTCCAGCCAAACAAAAGATAGGCATATGAGTTGAACATTTACCTGAGGTAGATATACTCCCTGGAGAGAACAATCATGGGAGAAAGAAGGGCTGTTTATGCACAGGGAGACAGCTCAGGGGGCAGGAGTGCATGGAGTGATGGACACAGGGAAGAGGTAACTATCGGGAAGAAGTGGAGGGGAGCTGTTGCACTGGGGTGAATTGTGTCAATGTCATGAGACAACATGTGTGTGAACTGCTGTATGGAAAGTGAATTTGCTCTGTAAACTTTCACCCAAATCACAATTAAAAAAAAAAAAAAAATCTGTCCACAGCTCCCTATCAGGCTGGGATGAAGGTGGGAGGAGTTTTTTGAATCATATGAGAATTACTTTCTTTTCAACTCTTTTTATTCAATAATCTTTGTTTCTCTCCCTTTTTATAATCAGAAGAAAGAGCACTCACCAGGCAACGCAATTTAACTATAAATCAATAGCACTGCATGTTTCCATATATTTATTTTATGGCCATGTTTTCCTATAGTAAGTGGAACTGGTTGTCCATTTATTAGAGAGGTATTTCCCAATTTATGTATTCAAGTGATAATGATCTGCACTTATGACCATCTTTTTTTTTTTTGGTACATCTTATCATTAACAACATGTATGTAAGTATGTATTATAATAGACATATGAGTTTCTACATAATGTTTCCAACCCCTAAAAACAAATAAAGATCAAATTTATAAAGATATTAATTTTTTTAAAAAAAGGCAATAATAATGAAAAGCAAAAAATAACAACAAAAAAGGTATTCAACTTACATCAGAACTGTCTTATGACAGAGAGATTGGAACAGAACCCCACTGTTAAGTTGGGGACCACTTGTAGTGATATACGCTATGAAGGTAGTCCCTTGCCTGACTGTCTATGCCCATCATGGCAGCCTCGGCCCCCTCTCACTGCTCCTCTGCAAATGGGCTTTATCCAGCTAGTTGCCAAAACCACTCAGTTCCATGCTCTTGAACATGCTGCTTCCGCTCCTGCTATGCTATTACCTTGAACCTCTTGGACTACTTGAGAAGATAGCATATTGTTTCCGAGTTAGCTCAGAGGTCATCTCCTCAGCAGCTGTTCCTAGTCTGCTCCCACCCTGGCTCCCTCTATTATTGGCTTCCCTCAAACTCTGCATCTTTCTATGTCATACTGGGTAATGATCGATTTGAAGGCCTGCCTCCCTCACCAGATTAGAACCTCTCTTGTTGTAACACATCATAGCACTGAAAGAAAGCTAAACTCTCTTGTTCCACTTCTCTACCACTGAGGACCCTTGAGTAAGTCCTTTCCACTATGGGCCCCTGCAACCCCTCCGTTTCAGAGCAGCCTTTCATACTGAGCACACGGATAATCCTCAGATATTGGTGATAACTGAGTTTCCAACTATGGGATTTGAAATGAGATCAGGTAAGGTCATATGTCCCTCTAAAATGTTCAAATCTAGCCAACTGTCCATTTTCTCAAAGAAGACTACAGACTAACACCCCAAAGAGAATGCTGTGTCCGAGGTGACCACTAGAATTTTCTCAGTTTCACCTTGGCCCAGACTCTCTTCCTATTCCCACCAGTACCCTCAGTCCTGACCTCATCATCTCAGCTCAGCCTGCAGCCATCTGCCAGGGAAATGGCATCCAGGCCATTGAGATATGTTTACACCCTCTCTCCTTGTGGTTGATGCCATCACACTAGGATCTGCAATCATGCTACCCAGAACATATCCCCCTCTCCCTGACCTCAAACAAATATTCTATGACTGGATGTGAGCCATTATGGGCAAAATATAACAGGGACTCCTGTCTGAAATAATAACTATTATCATTACTGCTATTATCAATTACTAACATTTGTTGTTGTTAACTGCTGTCTTGTCGATTCCCACTCATGGCAACCCCATGTGTGCACAGTAGAACTGCTCCATTGGGTGTTCAAGGCTGTGATCTTTTGTAAGATCGCCAGGCCGATCTTCTGAAGTGGATCTGAGCCACTAACCTTTTGGCTAGTAGTCAAGTGCTTAACCATTTGAACCACACACGGACTCCTAACATTCAGTAGCGCTTATTAGGTGCCAAGCTTTGCTCTAACAACTTTGCATGTATTAACTCATTTACTTAATTCTCACAAAACTCTATGGATACAATTATTAGGTCCACTTTATAGATGAGAAATGAAACAGATTAAATTGCCTAAGGTCATGCAGCTGGTAAGTGAAGGAGCTGGGAAATGACTGTGGGCAGACTAAGCATCACAGGTATTCTCAGAATCCTTTTAACAGTCACTATGCCACCAGCTCTGGTAGCATAGTGGCTAAGACACTTGCCTGCTAACCAGACGGCTGGTGGTTCAAACCCACCAGCCACTCCTCGGAAGGAAGGTTGGGCAATCCTACTTCCGTAGTGATACTGCCTCGGAAACCCAAGGAGGGGTCGCTATGAGTCGGGGCCGACTCGACGGCACATAACAACAACAACAACACGCCACCAGTGACTGGAATGAGTGTACAAAAAAAAAAAAAAACTCATTGCTGTCGAGTTGGATCCAACTCATAGTGACCCTTCCTTGGGTTTCCAAGGTGGTATCTTTACAAAAGTAAATTGCCCAGTCTGCCTTCTGAGGAGTGGCTGGTGGGTTTGAACCACCACGGTTCTGGTCAGCAGGCAAATGCCTTAGGCACTATGCCACCAGAGCTCCTGGAATGAGTGTACAGCAACCATTAATGAATGATAACTAGAAACAAACTATGGAACCTGTGAGAATAGTCAACTGGGGAAGCTAGCAGGGCAAAAGAATGTTTGCTAAGAGTGTCTGGGGATCAGAATCACCATTTACCAGGAAATAAATGTGGCTTGAGAAAGGTCCCCAAAGTCAAACACAGTCTGGTTCTGTCAGACATCAACTGACACCCAGATTATCAAAGGAAGCCCAAGTCAGCATCTTGAAATTGTATGATAAACCTAGGGAAGGACATGGTTGAGGATTTTCATTGCAGCATTGTTTGTTCTGGGGACAGTGGTGATTTGGTGGTAGAATTTACGCCTTCCATGCAAGACATCTGGGTCTGATTTCTGGCCAGCGCACCCCATGCACAGCCACCACTTGTGTGTTAGTGGAGGCTTGTGTGTTGCTATGTATGATGAACAAGTTTCAGCAGGGCTTCCAGATCACAGTAGACTAGGAAGGAAGACAGGACTGGTGATCGACTTCTGAAAATCAACCAATGAAAACCTAATGGATCATGAAAGTCCAATCTGCAATTGATCATGGCACAGGGCTAGGCTAACAACACTGTTTGTTGTGGCAGGGGTTGTAAACAATTTAGGGGCCTCACTACTAGGCAAATCTACAAGTCAAATAAGTAAACTGTGGGGAATGTAAGTTTAGAAACCTGTGTAGCATTTAGATATATGCACAGCAATACCAATAAGATCTCAAAACATGACAGGGAAAAAATAAAATGAAGTCTAGGCAGAAAATCATTTAATAAATTAAAAATGGATGCATACAATCAAGGACACACACAAATAAGAAGATACACACCAAACACATCAGAGTGGTTTTCTACGGTAGTGGGAGAAGAATGGGAACAAAAGGAAATATATAAACAAACACCTAGGAAAAAAAGGCCCTGCATGGGTCAGTTAAACATGCCATGAACTGAAGAGTATGATTAACTTAACAAATAATTAAAAAATTAAGTAAGTGAGCTGGGAAAACAGAACAACTCGGGAGTATTCCATCCAAAAAGCCTAGGAGGCTAATTCAGTCTATGGAGAGTGAGCTACCACACGAATCACACTGTCATCTTCTCCAGGCACAAGTATGTCCGAGTGTGTGTGCGCATGTATTTTACAAAATATTCTGTGATTAATACAGGACTGGATGACTAGAATTTCATGTCCACCGGTCGTAAGCCCTCTTGCTCAAGGTTTTACATGTACAGAAATTATTTGCCAGAGTGATCCCTCTAAAACATACATCAGATTCTGTTACCTCTTGGCTCACAACCTGTCACAGCTTGACATACACGCCCTTTGCAATTCTACATTCACTTCCTTTGCACAACCTTTTCCTGTGTCGGAGTGCCCTTTGCCTATCTCATCATGGAGAACACAAAATACAGTTTAATCATCTGTTCTCAATGAGATCTTACGAAACCCTGAATGAAATCTTCCTCCCTGTCTGCTTCATTCATTCATTTTGGTGAACCTCTGTTGAGTGTACCCATTGGATGCACACCTGAGTCCTCACCACTGTGGTGCAGCAATGCCTGTGCAAATGTCTGGTTCTCCCAGCAGACTGTGAGCTCAGGGGCTAGATTCCAGACTCATTCCTCTCTCCCCTTTTCAGTGACCAGCCCATGGCCTGGACTCGGGGGGGGGGGGGCCTCAATAAACATTTGCTGATTAAA